CACTTGATCTTTTATGGAGAGGGACACGTGGGAACCTTATGGGGGGCCTCGGACCCCCCCCCCCCATGCTGAGGGCAAGAAGGTAGCTGTCAAGCCCCTCGTAGGAGCCATCCATAGGCCCAACGGGCCCAGGCCAGCCATTACCTACTCACAGCCTTGTCCTCTCTCTCCACCCTCTACTATCTCAGTATCTTACCTCCCGTCCCCGTGTGTCCTCAGGCTCCCCAACTCCTCACATGCTCAGGACCAGATTCCCATGCCCACCTCACTCCCCTGCTCCTCTTTCTGGGCTTGGCAGGGGGAGCATCCCCTCCATCATCGGTGAGCGTCTTTTTCCGTCTCGCTCGTGGACCCCGCTCCCTATCCTCACGATCCCGTCCTTCTTTGCTTTCTGTGACTCATTCCCAGAACTCGCATCCGTTCCTTGCCCATCATGGAGCCAGCCCCCGAGTGAGAGGCATGGGGCTGCATCGGAGGGGAGAAGGACGGAAGCCTTTGAGGGTCTCGGAGAGGGGTGCGAGGTATGCTGCAGGCACTCCTGGGGGGCTCACGGGAGGGAGGGACTGGGTCCAGGGAGGGTCAGGGAAAGTGAGAGCACGTCTTGGGGCTCAGCTCTCCATTCCTTCTTCATAAACTGAGTCCACCTGTAGGATTGTACCCCCATCTCCGGGCAGATACCCCAGCCCCATGGGTCAGGGGCATCATGCAGCCCTCCTGCACCCTGACCCTGATCAAGCACTTGGACCTTGAGTATGGAGGCCGTGAACTCTACCGTATATCCCCAAACTGGCTTCTACCGTGGCCGGATCTCCCTGAGTACTGGGTCCAGCTTCTCCCGTCCCCTTCAGGATCGCCTTTTACTTCCTCCCACTTCTCCCACATCTGCTCAGTCACCGAGGCCTATTCTACTTGTCACTCACTGTCCCTCCATTCTGGTCAAGCCCTTCCTTTTCATCCCTGCTGTCGGGCAAATGCTGTATCTTCTGAGAAGCCTTCTCTGACCTCCCCAGCCGAACATGACCTTGCCCTCCTCTGGATTCTGAAAGCTCTTACTGTCTGCCGACTTATCGCTTGGCACTTAGGATAGACTCCCTTGTGTAGTTGTTTCTGCTTTTTCCCTTGTGTCTGTGCTTTATCTTCCAAATTGTCGAAGCCAGGTCGCTTGGTGTTACACTTGCCTGCATCTTCCACAGCATTTGGGAAGAGGTTGCTGGTAACCATAGCTGCTTGACTAATCCTATAGCCAAGGGGCTGCCTGTGAGGGGGTTGGGAGTGTCTTCGAGACCTTGCCCCTGCCGAGATTGCACGGTCTGGTGAATAATTTTTCCCTTCACGACTATGAAGCATTTAGAAAAAGTGAGTCGTCGCCATACCCTGTCTTTCTTATTAATTATCATTATAAGACAGCACGACTCATGGTTCTCCTTTGGTTGTAGAACGTGGCCTCTTTTGGTTGACAGTTTTCAACTCAACCGAGACAATGAATAATAGCAAGAAGGTTGGCTGCATCGGACTCCATGAAACTCCGGGGAAAATGGAGCTCCGTGGAAATGATTGTTGGTCTTTTTTGTGTTTGGATCACGGGTTTCCTACTGTCCTTCGTTTGTCCACGTGACACCTGGTGTAGGAACCTACATATTTGCAGAGACCAGAAGGAGAGCAATTTGTGCTTTTTTGCAGCCAACTCAAATGATAGAAGACTATCCATAAAGCAAAACTCAAGGGACGTCTGGTTTGAGACACTGGGATCACCCCAAACCGTAAACCCCTGAGAATGTCTTTATGAGTTTTACGCACCCCGAGATATCCGTGTTGGTGAATCCTAAAGGATAAAACATTTGCGGGCCTCTGGTTTCTTCTGCGTAGCTCATGTCAGAGCACATTAGCCTCCCGGTTCATAAAGGCCCAGAAAGGTCTCTTGCCATTGGCTGGAGGCCATCCCGGGCACCGTGAGGACAATCTCTCTGTGTTGCCCATAGGGGTGTGTTATTGTCTGTGATTGTATCTGTTCATGAGTGTGGTGCAGTGTCCCAGAGTGGTGCCAAGGCTGAATAGCCTTAAAACTCTCCCCTCTTTGCTGCCATAAAACCAAAAAGCTATGGGCTGTGAGAGCTTCCATGGGTATTTTAATTCCATGAAACCTGAAGGACCCAAGGTGAAGGTCTTGGCTGTCCGGGTGCAGATGGAGTTTTGCATTTACCTTCTTGTGGGTGGGAGCCTGTGTTTACTCCTCTATTAAACGGGGACGATACTAGAAACCTCCTCGTTGGCTTGTTGGGTGAGTTACATTGACACAAGGCATGTGACGCACTTAGGACGGCATCTGGCCCAGAGTGAGAGCTCAAGAGAGCTCATTGTTGCGTCCCCCTCGCCCCCTGCAGCGGATCGGAACCTGACAAGCAGAGAGGGGAAGTAGAGCCCCTCGAGCAGCCCACCCCAGGCTTTGAGAAGGAAGAGATGAGCTCTGCCTCTGGGGGTGGAAGGAAAAAGACCAGAAAGGTGGGAGTTGATGTGTCCAGGGGGAGGCATGTTGCCATTGGCCCTCTGAGTGCACGCCCCCCTCAGCAGACAAGCCCGTGGTTGACATTAGGATGCTGGCTGTGCTGCCTCAGTTTCCCCAAGATTGAACACCAGATGGACCACAGTGAGCCATCTGAGCTGCCCCAGACTTATCGGCTTCACCAGCAGGCTGGGGAGACTTCTCTCTGGGTGCGTCCTTCACATCTCCGGAGGTTCCGTCCCTGGGTATCCTATGATGTGGCTTATGTCACACTGGCCAGGGGCCCTTGATCTAAGCTATCTCTGTGGGTCCCGGACGTGTGTGTGTGTGTTAAAACAGACATGACACCATTTTAACCATTTTTAAGTTTACAAGATCTGTGGCATCAAGTGCCTTCACCATGTTGTGCAACCATCACCATCTACCTCCAGACTTTGTCATCTTGCTAACAGACACTCACTCTGTGTCCATTAAACACTAACACCACATCCCACCTCCCCTCCATCTCCCCCCGGCCCTTGGCAATCGCCATTCTATTTATTTATTTATTTATTTGTTTGTTTGTTTGTTTGTTTGTTCGTTCGTTCGTTCGTTCGTTCATTCATTCATTCTCTCTGAATTTATTCTATTCTAGGCCCCTCCTAAAGTAGGATCCCACAATATCTGCCTTTTCATGACTGGGTTATCTTGTTTTGCCTAATGTCTTGAGGTTCATCTGCACCATAGTCTGGGTCAGAATTTCCTTTCTAAGGTTGAACACCATGCCGCTGTTTGCTTATCCGCTCATCCATGAATGGACACACTTGGGTTGTTTCTAAATTCTTTGGCCATCACGAAGAATGCCGAAGTACAACAGTACAGATAGCTGAGTCCCTATTTTTCCGTTCTCTTGGGTGTATACCTAGAAGTGGAATTGCTGGACCTATGGTAATTCTGTGTGTAACTTTTTGAGGAGCCGCCATATTGTTTTCCCTGTCGTCTGCTCCACTTTGCCCGCATCCTCGCCAGTGCCTGTTCTTCTCTGACCTTTCTGGTTTTATTCGTTTGTTTGTTGATAGTGGCCATCCTCATGGGTGGGAGGTGACTCCTCGTTTGGGTTTTAATGTGTTTTCCCTAGTGATGAGTGATACGGAGCACCTTTCCATGTGCCCGTTGGCCATTTGTATATCTTCTTGGGAGAAATGCCCTTTGCCCATTTTTTGTGTGTGTCTAGGGAAACTTCAGCTACTACTCTTTCAGCCACAAAAACAACTGCCTTTATTGGGTACTTTGGTCCCCTTTGCTCTATGCTCAGTGTTTATGTGGATTTCCCCCCTTAATCCTCCCAACAACCTTTTGAGAAAGGCATTGCCAATCATCTCCCTTTTATACTCCCAATACACTCCCTTTTATTGAGCTCAGGGTCCACTCCTTCCTCCACTTGCAGCTCAGATGGCTCACTGTGGTCCATCTGGTGTTCGATCTTGGGGAAACTGAGGCAGCACAGCCAGCATCCTAATGTCAACCACGGGCTTGTCTGCTGAGGGGGGCGTGCACTCAGAGGGCCAATGGCAACATGCCTCCCCCTGGCATGGGGGAAGGTTCGAGGCCCCATGCTAGGTATCACAGCTAGTAGGTAGTGAACCCACAAGGGCTCCAGAGCCCTCTGACTCTGTCCCTAGGGATCGTTCTGATTTCCTAGCCCAACCCAAGGATCTGGCGCTGAACCCTCTTCATAAATACACAGTTCATCCATACATTTGAGAGAATGCTATTTATAGGAAACCCATCTAGACCTCGAGACTTTGCGGTCCCTCGGGAAAGTCATATTTACTAAGATATCAAGGCTCATTTCCTAAAATCACAAAGGTTTACATTGAAAGCAGACATAGAAATGTGTGGATTTGAAGTGCTAACCCTTCAGCTGCGCCAAAAAGCTGTCTGAGTGGAGTGATTCGATACATTCACGCAGGATCCAAGTCTCTTGTCTGAACTCATTTAGTTGGTGGGTGCCATATTGAGCTCAGGGTCCAGTCCTTCCTCCACCTGCAACTAACAGCTTTGTGATCCTCAAGCCCTTTTCCTCTGAGATGCATGGCATCGCCCCCCTGGTCACCCACTGTCTGTCCAGGTTTGGAGGCAGCAAGGGCAGAGCGAAGACAGGGGACCCTCGTCTTGCCCTTTTGGGGCTTTTCAGCCCTGGATGTGTCTAACACAATGGTTCTTTGGGGGAGCATTCCCCATTCTTTGTAGGTTGGTTTTTATCTGGCCTTGGGTTCACACAGCTGGGGCTGGGGCCGAGGCCAGAGCCGTGACTTAGGGTTGGGAAGAAGTTGGCGGAACATTCCCCAGCAGGGCTTGGGCAGGCCCAGGGAGTCCCGCCTAAAATATAGTGGACAAAGGAGCTCTTGTCCCCAGGCCTGGGGGTGGGAGGCATCTGGTCAGTGACACAAGCTTGGCCATTGTGTGTCGTGACCTCGGCCAACTTTTTTTAGCTGAGAAAGGGGAAAAAGAGAGAGTGAAGGAAAAAAAAAAAAGGCCTCCAGAAACTTCTCAACTGGGAAGTCCAGAATGCGTCGTTGATTTCCTCACAGGACCTGGGGCAGATTTGGAAGGAACTGTGCAATGTAGGGTGTTCTTTGTGAAAGAAGAGTAGCGTGCAAAGCCGCAGGAACGCCCTCTGGGGTGTCCCCGGCACTGACCCTTAGCACGGTTGTTTGCACCAGCCCCATTTCCCGCAGAGGGTGCCATGGAGAGGAAGTTGGCAGGGGCCTGGCCCTGGGTCTGGGGACTCCACGCACGGCCCAGGACTCTCCTCTGAGTTATTGGCAGCCCCGTGAGGAAGACTAGCTCTTCTCTGATGGTAAGAATCGATCCAATGGGCTCAGCTTTTTCTGCGTGTTTCTGAACTAACTTGGGTATTTTAGAAAGCGGTTCTGAGGACCTCTGAGATGGGGAGCTGAGAAGCTCTGGGGGGCCCAGTGTGCTGGGCAGGGGGGCTCCCGTAAAGCATAAAGAGCTGGGAGAAAAGAGGACTTGTGTGAGATCGAGAACGGGGGAGGAATGAGATGTGATGTGAGAAGGGGTTGTCGGTGGAGGGAGCGGGGGGCAGCTCCCCGGTTACCTGGGCAGCAGTTCCGTGGAGGCGTGCAACCATATGGTGGCATCATGGCTTGTGGGGACTGGCGGCCACATCTCGCCTCCCTCACTTCTCCCAAATCTGAAGCTTGGCTTCTACCTGTCTACCCACCTGCCGTCTGTGTGGCCCGGTTCTAGCTGGGACCGTCTACAAGGGAAAGCCTGCCCAGGGAGCCTGATGTTTGTACTGTGGTTCCAGGCTGGGCTGGGTGCTTCTGTCCAGCTTGGTGGTGGCAGGGGTGGGCTGTGATAAGGGGGGCATGCATGGATGCTCTCTTGAGACTTAAGGGTGGGATAGCCTTATTGTGCCCACCTTCCTGCCTCTGGAAGTCAGACCACCCCCCCTTTCTTGGAAAGAGGGACCTCCCATCAGCCAAGACTCTAGTGACCGCTCTCTGGAGGCTCTGGACAGCCGGCGGGCGGGGGGGGGTCCAGTTCGTATGGGAAGGCTCGTCTGTGTCTGCACATAGCCTTCTTCCAGGACGCTGTCTCCCGGCCACAGGGTCCGACAGCATCTGTAATTTTGGTGTGGCTTCTGATGGAGGCCTGAGCCTGTGCTCGTCACCCAGGGGCACCTGGAAAGTTCACAGCAGGGCTTCTCGGAGGTTAAAGCGCATCTGAATTGCCCAGGGACCTTTAAAATACAGAGCCGGGTGCTCGGGTGGAGGCTGGGACTCTGCATTTCTAGCCAGCTCCCAGGGGACAGCCCAGCGGCTGGTACACTTGCGGAAAGATGGTGTGTAAAGAACCCAGACCGATCAGTCACGTTCTGATGGAGTACTGGGGAGCGCTGGTGGGTTCTGGTGGGTTCTGGTGGGTCTGGCCTTGGCTGTGTGCCATAGCAGGGAGGTTCACAGAGAAGAAGGGATCAGCAAAGAAGCTGGACCCAGAGGAGGGTGAGAGCCCAGGGGAGCCTCTTGGCAGAGACGGAGGCATGCTGTGCCTGAGCCGAGGTGGAGTGTGTGTTCAGGTCCTGGCGTGCATGCGTGGTGAACAGCTTATCTCTAGCAAGCTCAGAACAAGCCTGTGTTGCGGGGGGCGCCTGGGTGGCTCAGGTGGTGAAGCGTCTGCCTTCTGGCTCAGGTCATGATCTTGGGGTCCTGGGATCGAGTCCCGCATCGGGCTCCCTGCTCGGCGGGGAGCCCTGCTTCTCCCTCTGCCTCAGTCCCCCTCCCCCTGCTTGTGCTCTCTTTCCCTCTCTCTCTCAAATAAATAAATAAAATCTTAAACAAAAAGAACAAGCCTGTGTTGGGTGTGGGGCGAGTTCCAGCTTCGGACACAGGGAAGCCCGGGGTCGCTGGGCAGATAGAGCTCAACTGCGTGTGGCTCTAGGAATGACAGGGAAGGGGCTGACATAGGCCGTTCAGGGCAGAAGAACTCCCCGGAACTCGCCGTGTTGAGAGGAAGAAGCCCAGTGTTCAGGGGGCCCAGTCTGCTGCCTGTGAACCCGTGTCTACACTTGAATGAGACTTTTCCCCTCTCACGAAACAGCACGTCCTTACATAGCAGGTGGACTAAGACCAACATCCAGAATCCTCGCGTCGTAGAAAAGAGAGCAAGAGAAACCAGAGAAAACCCTAGGAGACCATCTGGTCCGACTTCTGTATTTTCGAGATAAGGAAATCAAGGCCTCCCCGCAGAGATGAGGGGGTTGCTCAAGGCCGGCCCTCCCCGCTCACATCCCGCGCATTCTCTGCGCAGGGGGGGCCCCCAGAGCAGTGGTGGGTTCCAAGCGTGTGACCTCACCTGAGCGAGCGACTTTCAGTTCCGTTCGTCTCCTCTGAACTTGCGGGGTCTGTTCTGAATGGAACAGAATGCTCGGTAAATGTGGGTAGGGGGTTTTCTTCAGGGGCTTGAGAAAGTGCTAGAAACCCTGGCATGAGGCATTCTGGGATCTTTGTACCTTAATACGAAAGGGGATTCGTTAGGATTTCCTCTTCTCCCTGCTCCCTCCACCCCCTGCCCCCCATTCCCCCCAATACCAAGTGTTGGCAAAATTCGCTTATTCCCCGGCTCTCTCCTCTGCAAAGGGAAATTGGATCAGGAATCATGTGGAGGGGTCCTCACCCTACCAGGAGCTGCCTAGGGAGCATGCTGCTGGTGCATGAGCCTCAGCATGTCCTTCGGAAGCATCTCCTAGGGCACGGTAATCGGTATCTTTACCGATATATACTAGTGTAGAAAATCCAGGGTGCAGGGTTTTGTTTTTTTTTTTTTAAGATTTTTACAATTTTTATCTTATTTATTTGTCAGAGACAGCGAGAGAGAGAACACAAGCAGGGGGAGTGGGAGAGGGAGAAACAGGCTCCCCGCTGAGCAGAGAGTCCGATGTGGGGCTTGATTCCAGGACCCTGGGATCATGACCTGAGCCGAAGGCAGATGCTTAACGACTGAGCCACCCACGCATCCCTCCAGGGTGCGTTTTGAGATCCTTCAGGACGGAGGGAAGTGCTAACCCCCCAGCCCACCTCCTTCTTCTGACAGATAGGGACATTGGAGCCCTAAAGAGGCCGGGACAGTGACTTGTGGCCAAGGGGAGAAGTCCGTGTTCAGCCTCCCCGTATGGGTTTTCGGTAACGCTCACAACTTCGTGAATCCTGGTTGGGGCATACATTTTAATGACTTCCAAGTTCCGTTAAATCGCTTTGCTTCACCGGGGTCTCAGGCGCATATCCTTCCCATCCGTTCCACGTTGGGTTTGGCTGAGGAAATTTTCACTCTCTGGACCATGCAGCGGGGCTCCGGAGAGGTAATGTGACATGAACGTTCCTGTTCTGGCTCGGAGGGCTCCGTCCTCTTGTGTTTATGGGGTAGCTGCTTTTGCAAGCGTGAAATGTCCCTTGTGGTGGTTTTGGGCCCTGTTACGTGACATGTTCCCCAGGTCATAGAACCCCGGTGTCGGAGGGCTGGCAGCCCCTGGTATTACAGATGAGGAGACAGAGGCCCCGAGAGGCCCAGGGAACTGCATGAGTTACAGCTCGCTGTCTGGGAACACGGTCTCCTTGTGCCTAGGCCTGTGTGCTTTCTGCCGATGCTTCTGGGGTCCCGAGGTTGGAGGTACGATATCAGAATGGCCCACGCTATTTTTATCTGCCGGAGAAAGGGTAGGAGGAAAGGAGCCAACATTCCTCGAAGTGGAGAGTTTGAATAAAATGTCTCAGTTAATCACGAGCTGGTGAGCAGACTCATTCAGGTTTTCCTGCTCAGAGGCCAGAAGCCCAGACAGCCTGCGAGGAGCTCACCGCCTTGCCCTTTATAACTTTGAAACATCAGGGCCGGACAGATCTTAGAGGTAGGACCAAAGTAACAGGCTCTCTTTGGGGTTTCTCAAGCCCCTCTAGGCTCCAAGATGGGGCAGCAGGTGCAAATTCCCATCTTATTCCTAGAGCTGTTCTCTATGTTTACGGAGCGCCTGTGGGAACCGCCTTCCCCCACGTGAGCGTGAACATGGCCATGAGGCCGTCGGGTACCTGCCCTAAACCTCAGTACGGAGCAGGACCGACACAGTTGTGTTGTTCGGTCAATACGGAGATTCTCCCAAGAGACGCTGAAGGGTGGGCATCTCTCGGTTCCCTGTCATGCTGTATGGGGTTGCTGGGCGGAATGCCACCAGCAAAAGCACGAGCCATCTCACATAGGAGATGTCTGCTGACATCCAGAGGTCCTCATTTTGTGCACTGTCTCCTTTGGAACCCTATTCATCAGCCCCTCTGTCTTCTCTCTGGACGGCAGGTGCACCAGTAATAGAAGTGCCTTTCTCTGGTGTCCGTGGAATAAGGGCTCGCGTGGGAATGTGTGTAAGGCCCGAATAGAAGCCATTCCTACAGGATGGATTCCTTCCTGCCCTCCACTGCTTGACCCACAGACACGTCAGGGCTGTGAAATGGCTTCTGACACGTTGGGGGTTGCGGGGGGCGGGGGTGGGGGCGTCCAGCTCATCCTTGCACTTTGCGGTATTGTTCACAAGATTGTTTGTCCGCCCTCGCCCCACTGGAGACCCTGTGTTTTCCGGCTTAGCCAAGTTTCCCTGTGCGGGTTGACTTCCTGTGCCCTCGCAGAGACTACATTGTAATTGTGTTCATCAAAATTCCTGGTTAACCAGATCACTCCATTCCTTTTTAGGATCAGAAAATAAGAGTTTATTGTCCTGTGTCCTCTTCCCTGCCCTGTCCTGAAAAACAGGCCCCAGTGAGTCGATTGGTCCCAGGGAGGCACTGGGGGCTTATAGATGGCTCTTCAGGGTGGCCGGGACCCTTGCCAAGTCCTTCAGGAGCTAGACACGTGTGGGTGCTCATAGCAGATTGGGCAGCGGGCACGTGGCTGGCAGCTGTGTTGGGAGAAACCCCCCCAAGCATTGATGCCCACCAGTGGCTGCCAGGTGTAAAGCTTCCTCTAGCAGTTTTGTGGATGGAGGACAGTGATGGGGGGGGGCGATGGGGGTGTCGGGGAAGGTAGCTGATGCCGGCAAGCGTGAATGTGGCAGACGCTCCCCGGGGGCTGGAGCTGGGGACCCCGGGTGAGTCACCCTCTGGGGACTTGTCGGTATGATCCATGAGGACTTGTCATGGGGGCCGAGGTCTGGCATGAGTGAGTGACAGATGCCAGCCACTAGGATGTGGATTATTGCTGCAAGCATGACCCCTTCCAGCCATTCACCCTGAGCGGGAGGCCCGAGGACACGTGGGTTGTATTGGGTTCGCAAGAGTCCTGGGGACGTTTGCATTT